GTATAAAATATATAATTAATATTAGAAATTACTTTCGAATAGTATAGTTTAGTCAATTATAAAAAACTTATAGTAAGAGAATAAAACAAAGTATATCCATTTGAGATTATTGCAATATATGCAATATTTCTAAGTTGCCTTAAATTTTTTTTTTCTCATATTGTTACACACAACAATAACTATTCAAATATTTTACAATACAACCGAATTAAATTAAAGTTCATGAGAATTTAATATTTACACAAATTATTAAAAAAATTCATAATAGCTGTAATTTCAGTAAAAGATAGCTTTATTTTATAAAGTTTACTACAATTACCAATTTGCTTTTAACTTAATTTAAATTTAGCACAAGTTAATGCGATTTGTGAAAGTAAATGAACATAATAGGAAAATTAAATAATTCTAATTAGAAACAAACCTTATTTAATTTGATTAAATTGAAATTATTAATAAGGGTGGATTATTTATCTAGAAAATTCATTTTCTGAATATAAAATTACTTATAACGGAAAAATTTGTATTATAAAAGACATATAATTTTTATTTATCTTATTTGATTTTATTTTCAACATTTTTCAAGCATTATATTAAAAAATTAATAAAACCATTTAAATGAAAACTTTGACACTATATAAACAGTGAGCCATTTATAAATCTGAATAAAAATACTCCCAAGAATTATAAAGTAAATTGATTAAGCTATTATAATTTTCATGATTATTAACAATTTTGCTTGATTTATAATGGGCCATCAGAAATAGAAATTTGCGTTCTACTTTAATAGCTACTATCAGTTATTAATAATTTCTATTTCATGTTTCGTCCATTCATATTCGAGTTTATATCTATATATTCATAGGAAATAATTTAAGAAAATACTCTAACAAAAATAGGTATGTAAATTTTCAAATTTTAAACAAATTACATAGAAAAGAATGACTACTTTTTAATACTCAATGACGTTATATATTACATATTGGAAAAAAAAAGAATTTTATATTGTTGAAATTCATACGAGTCGCTTGATATTTTATAACAATGTGTTATTTATGGCATTTCTTCTCAAATATAATTAAAGAAACAATTTCTTTATTACAATACAGTCAATATACAACACTACTTTTTCCTGTATTATACCAACCCAATTTCTTCTGTCAGAAAATCATAAAATAAAAGTAAATACATATTAACCAATTTGAACTGCGAACCTCAATTTTTAAAAATTATCAAATGAATCAATGACAAGACAATTGGCTATACGAAAATAAAACTTGTTCCGTTTCTTATTTTAACATTATATTATGTATAACAATTCGAGTAATACATTTTTTCTTTTAAGAAAACCGAAGGTCAAATAAAAAGTCTTATTTTTCATTACAACTTTGAAATAACATTTTAATGTTATTCTAAAAAGGTGAATATCTGGTAACCCGTATATTTTTTCATTTACCTCAATTAAAAATATTTAATTTTTTCTCTTATTATTGCAAACCAAGTATAAAATACTATACACTATACATGAGTGGCATCTATATATATATATATATATATATATATATATATATATATATATTTATGTTTGTATTCGTTTTAAAGTTGAGCAGGTAATATAATCAAATAATTAATGCGTACGCATATAGAATATCCAGTATAAGCAGTTTTCTCTCTTTTCTTTTTTCTATTTACGCATAGAATTACACCCATGTGCGTAAATATAATTATCTATAATCACACATGGAAATAAATTAAGGTTTTAAATATTTTAGAAAATCTAAAAACAATCATTTATTAACATTTATTCTGTGAGCTATATTTACATTTGTTTATAAAGCATCATTATTATAGTATTTATAATTAAATAATAATTATTAACAATTTTAAGATATAATAATGAAATATTTTAACGTATGAATAATCATATTTTTAATTAAATATTGTGGATAAAAAATTAATTTGTAACAAATAACGATTACCAAATAGTCTAATTTAGAAGTTTTGCACATACCATAAATTACTAATTTCATAATTTATAATCAAATTGAACATATAAAACGTAAAAAGTAATTGTTTGGTTAAAAACGACAATTGTATATTACGAAATAAAGAATAAAATTATGTATGACTAATCATAAATAAATTTTGATACATTTCCAATAAATATAAATTTTATTTCTATGCAAAGTACATGAAAAAGATTATTTCCAAATTTTATTAAATCATTAATTTAATTCTCAATATGGTAAATCTTTTTCGTTCAACATTATTTTTAAAATATCAATATTTTATTGATCATGATGTATTTTCATTTCAATCAGAGTGCATTTTTACCAGTACTTGTCATATATATATATATATATATATATATATTTATTACACACAATAATTAAAATATTTAATACCTAATTAAAAAGAAAGGCTGTGAAAGATTGTTTTGTTTTTTTTTGTTTTCAAAATAAGTACCGGAATTGCTTCTTATTTTTATTAAAGATGTTAATGCATTCTTGTCACTGCTCAAATTTGGTAAATGGGCTTCGTAATTATCATATTATCATTTTTCATATCCTAATCATTTAATATAATTTAATTTGAGGCACCTTAACGTCCCCCATATTTCTTGTAATAAAACCAGTATAAAACTCTGAACGAATAATGTAATTATAATGTATAAAGACAAATCCATACCTATTCTTACAACAAATTAATGACTGAGTTATAAGAATTAACTATTAAAAAATTTAAAGCGTTTTGCGTTTATCGAACTATATAACTATTTATCTAAATAAAGCTTTTCTCGATGCATGAAATCTAATGCTATGAATTTCTACTAATAAATATTCTACATACATATTAATTTCGTATAAATACATGATGTGTACGTCGCAAACACCACGATATGATTAATATTTTTCATCATTAATTAACAAGGTAAATAGATTATCTTTATATAATAATTTGTTTATAGTTTAATAGATTATATTTTATCTTATATTGGCATATATTAGAAGGAGATATTATTATATATATTTCTGTTTCTTAAAATATCTATATTAAAATATAGACAGCTCATGAAAAATATTTTACTTAATATTATAAATATTATTCATTTCATGTATGATAAATAATGAAAATAGAATAGATGTAGGATTTATAATTTTAATATACATTAATTAATTATACTGCATTAACTCTAGTATTTTCTCCTTTTGGATATATTTCATTCGACTCGGATAAGTTTTTTCTAAATACATTAAAGTTAATTATTTAAATTGAAATTTAAGTTTCATCAATTCATTCCCTTTAAATCTCAACTTTTAAAAATCTTATCTAGTCAATACTTTCTTATTTGATTTAGCATTGCGCTTGATTTTCAAAAGCTTTAAATTTAATGCAAATACTATAAATATATTATTTTTCTATATTAAATTTTATATAGTGAAATTAGAAATGCTTATATAGTATAGAAATTTTTGTTATAAATTAAATGCATAATGCTCAATGTCTTCGGTAATAGAAACATTATTAAATTATTCGTCACTTGAATTCTAAATAATTTAAATTATTTTTTCCTCTTGCACTTTCATATATAAAATAAAATATAAAATAATTAACAGAGATGAAGTTTCTAATAAAATATTTAACAGACATAAAAGCCCTATTTCTGTTTGTCAAAGCTCTCATTTAAAAAAAAAAAAAAAGTTATTCCCAAATTTATGAATTAAATTAATTTGAATATAATACTTTCGTTAAATTTTTATTTTCATGCAATTTTAATTTTGTAATTGAACAACCGACATTCCTGTAAATATTCTATTACACTTTTGTCTTTCTATATAGAAAAAACTGAATGTTTTCAAAACCTTCTCTAATTAAAAATTTGATTGAAACGTTTGATTAACTTAGTCTTCTATCTCATTCATACGTCATTCATATTGCAATTAACTTCGAGTAACATGAATTGACTGAAATATTACATAGGCATACAAACTTAACTCATAGGACTACTCTAATTATATTTACATTAATTCCGCGATTCTATTAACAATTATATTGTATCGACAATTTTATACTCTAACATTTATATTCAATCTATAAAGTTAAAAATATACATCTAAACCTTTGTAATATTTCAGCATTGGATTAATTAGAAATATTATAATAATATAGCTAAATTTATTAATGCTTCTTAAAGATTATTTTCAATATTTGTAAAATTATATACTTAAAATATAAATAAGTAGCAACAAATATAGAAGAATTTAATATCGTCGTGTCTAAATCTCATGCGCTATGCTATTTTTTTTTTTACAAAAGACTTATTAAATCGAACTTGATTTTGAAAATTAAATAATTTAACAGCTTTCAGTTTCACTCGGCTTTGATAGATTTTTAAAGCAAATGAAATAATAATAATATATTTTACTATATCGACATTATTAATAATTTTTAGATATAAGACTTTTCTTATATTAATACAAAATTAATATAATTAATATAATTAATTATTATTCTTCTATCATAATTGAATTAATAATCTTTGTAAATATAAAAATATTTTAATGAATTTATAATAGAAATTTATTTATAATAATACATTATTATTACTGATAGTTATTAAATTTTAACTAACAAAACACGTTCCTGAACATATTAATCTTTCTTCTGAGATCTTTATTGTAATTCAAAAATCATTTATTACTTCTATTAATAATAATCTATCATATTCAATGTACTAATGTGAAATCTTTATTAATTTTAAGACTTTATGAAAACCATCAGGCTATTATGGTATTTCATAACAAATTGTGTTTATAAAAAATATTATTTTTAATTACAGAATTTCAAATATTTATAATTTTTTCAAGAGGAAATAATTATTTCTTATTTTATTTACTTTGCAAGTTTTATAGTAAATCAACATATATGAAAAATTAATTTTTGAATTTTGTTCGTTTTTAATTACAGCGAAGTTCTTATTCCAATTTTGAATTTCATTTCAGATTGGATGGCGACTAACTGTACAATGGATTGCTGGAAACCCGGCTTGTAAAATATTTTTATTTTTAAGAGCTTTTGGCCTATACCTGTCAAATAATATTCTGATCTGCGTTTCCTTGGATAGGTAAGTAAATATTTTTGGTAGAAAGTATTACCTAAATATTGAGTTACCTTGTTTAATTTCATTAATTAATCCATACATACATATAAGATATCCGTACATCACACACATACTCACTCATATAAACGCATTCATAGTTTCGATAAGAAATTACTTTTAATTAATACAATATATTTATATATAGTTTTTTTTTATTGAATGAGCTACAGAATTATTTATATAATTCATTCCATTTTTATAATATGTCTAACACTTCTAATTTTGCATTATTTCTAAAATAAACTTTTAAAATGAAATTTTACGCTGAAAATATTTAAAAATTAATCAATAATACCAGTTTTAATCCCTCTATATTTTATTCAATATAAAATAGAAATGTGCTAAAGATACCTTTGCAACTATTCATTTGTGCGTCTGCGGATGTATATATATATATATATATATATATATATATATATATATGTGTGTGTGTGTGTGTGTGTGTGTGTGTGTGTGTGTAGAATCAATACAAGGCAGACAACTTATTTGTATTGAATTTAAATCATTATCCCCTATTCATTTCAGTCAATTTTATCGAATAATATGGTAAAAAGTGTAATTTATGAAAGATTTCTATTTATTTATCATTTGAAATCTAAAATTACGGTTTCGTTGATACCAATTTTTCATTTTTCTTAGTCGTAGCTTCTGTAAAAAAGGATTTAATTTGAATGTGATCTTCAGCTTTTTCATGAATCAAAATATTGTTGATCTGTAGATAAAAAATATGTTATTAATTGGATAACCATAATAACACAATACTTTTTATTATATATTTTTACAACTAGGAAATTAATGCACAACCATGATATTGAGAATATCTAAATTAGTGTATGACCATAAAAATATTAGTATACCAGTTATATATTTTATTTTTTGAAACATGCATATGCAAATGAAGAGAGAGAGAGAGAGAGAGAGAGAGAGAGAGAGAGAGAGAAAGTCGTTGGTTTAAGGATTTCGTTTACTCATGAATATACGTATCAAATGATATACATATCAATAAAATAATTATCATTTTTCATATTCCAAAATAATGAATAATACTGATAAATTAAAAATTTACATTATATATTATATAATCATGAGATATTTATATATTACATTAAATAAAATCGCGATTTTAATGCTTTTAATATTATCGCGCTTTTCATTGAATCTTTAATTTAGCCTGTTAATAGGTCGGAAAATATATAGTTGATAAATAAAAGTTAATTGATTATATATGAAATGAAATAATATATTAAACATTTTATTAATAAAACAACGGAATGGCTTATGGAACAGTTTGTATTTATTTGTCATGAGGTTTTCAGCAGTTTTACTTTGACTGTATGTCGATTATTATTCAAGAGTTTTCTTAGCTATAGAGAAGCGTAATTGAAAGACATAAGAAAATTCACACTCTTAGTGTGTCGACTATATTTAATATACTTGTACGTGCATTTGTGCAAATTTTATGCTCAAAATAACTTATAAAATTGGATGTCTTATATATAAAATTCACGAAGCAAACATATTGAATATACGTTATTCAAAAACGAAAATAATAAAACAAGAATTCAAATTACATGGACGGTTTCACAAAATGTATAAATTATATTTTATACTGTAACATTAATTATGTAAATAATAAAACGTAAAATAGACATATATTTATCTACCAATTCTCTGTGTCGTTGTTGTTGTGTTTTTTTTTTTTTTTTTTTTTTTTTTTTTTTTTGAATGTTAGCCCAGAATTTCATAGAATATTTGATAGAAATGATTGAATTTGTTGTTTTTTGTATATTTTCCCTCATTTTAGGGAATATGTAGCATTTAATTATCATGATTGTAAACTGTGAATGTATTTTTAACGATGAGTCACAATTTTCTGATTGTTTAATAGGCCATTTTTCACAATGAATGTTTTTTAATTTATTGAATAAAATACTTTTTAAATTGAAATAATAAGATATGGCTTGAATGATATAAAAATAACATGTATAATAAAATATTTAAATATATTTACATAATTAAATTTTCATTATTACAATTTTATAATTTTCAAATTGGGTAAATTATATTTTATATATTTTAAAATAAATGTTTGTTACGCGTTAGATAGCATTATTGCAAAAGTTAGTGTGGCATTTACTTGAAAATCAATATCAATATAAAATAAATTTATAAATTCATTTATGATGGTTGAATTCAAGCATGCATTTTTATTCAATTACTTTTTGTAAATTGTATAATTTTTAAAATCTAAAAATCATAACAATTGATTGTTATCTAATTAATTTAATATTAACAATTTTTTCATCTATTTCACTTATAATATTTATTTGCATACGTATGATAGTAAATTCATTTTTAATAAACGCCAAATCAGCAGTAAAACAGTTTCTAATGTCTGTTAATATGATTATGATAATATTTAGGGATTCAATTTATCTAAAATGAAGCAATTTATTAAATGGATAAATTTTGTAATTTCACACTCATAAATTTTAAGAGTGCTGGTGTAAAAATAATTTTATATTTATAGCCAATTATTTTGGCTATTTTAAATTCATATTTTATTAGAGTTGTCATGTATATAGCGTCACATAATTTCATGGAATTAATTTAAGTTTTATTATAATTATAAAATCCAATTTATAATTGTCCATTTTAATATATTCAATTTTAGTTACAAGTTTATGTAATGCAATACACAATATATGAACAAATGTTCATAAAAGTAGTTAATATTTAATTATAGCGTTTGCGAAGAATTAAATCAATCATATTAATTATTAGTTTCGTTTTACTTTTTTTTTCTATGGGTTGTTAACTATGGAATACTTTGGTCACTATTAATTACTAAAACAATTATTTTTAATGTAATAATTAACTTCCTTGAACTTAAACCCTAATGCAACTGAATCTTTTATAGTCAATTGTTACTTGCTGATTCAATTTTGATTTTTAAACAAACGCACGCGTTCATTTAAAAATAATCACTCATTGCTTATATTAATTTGCAAATGACACATGTATTTAGATACTTATTCTTACCCTAAACTTACTTAACTGCTTAATTCACATCTTTAAAGCAAATTTTGTAATCTATTCTGTGATTAGGATTCACCTTTTGAAATCTCTTTATAGCATTGGCATTTTTTATTTAAAGCTCGGCATATGACCTATTTTCACTTCCTACTTTCTCCATAATATATCAATAGTTAGCTTCATATTTTCTAATTCGATCATTATTAAGTGATTCATAGTTACACTATGATTAATTTAAGCCCTTATTCCAAAAAATTACTATTGATAATTATATCTTACTGATATTTTACTTTAATGAGCACTTGTCATTTAATACATCTGAATAGTAATCATTTATTTCACTTTAAAAAAAAAAATGATTATCATTTGCATTCAATAATTCTTTCGTAATATCTTCTTGACAGTCACGAATGATAATCTTCTATAAGCGGGTTTTATCTGTTATATTCCATGTCGTTGAAAAATGTATGAAGGTAAAATCTACTTTTAGGTCACGACAGTTCCATTGATGTCTTTCAATAGTCTAATATATCCAAACATCCAAATTCATCGGTGACATTTTCTTTCGTATGCCATTATTGATCGAACTTGTTATTCTTCATTCTTCTTTATTTCATAGTTTTTAAATTGTTTATGTTCGATATTGTAGAACAAAATAACAATTTACAGATCATCTTGGCAGTCTCATATACTCTTCTAAATAAACAAAAATGATCAAGACTTATGATTTTTTTTTCTGGTGAATTGAAATTCATTAGATAATTAAAATGCTCGATATATTCGGTGAGTAATTTGAGTTATTCGTGTCAAGGAAGTATAGGGCTACCCTTTGATGATTGTTGAACATTACCGCATTGATAACTATCTTACTATTGTTATTTCGAATTGTATTTTAAAACTATGATCTAGTAATCTTGTGCTTCATTTCGAACATTGTTCTTGGGGTAAACGACATAAATCTTATACAATTTTATCGATATATCGTTAAAACTGTATGATATTAATAGTATTTTCTTCTTTTCTTTATTATCGTCGTTGTTGTATTTCTTATCTTTCAACATATCAAATTGTTTGAAAGGTGTATTACTATATAAAAATATACTTCAAAATACCGTTCTGTTTTTAATATTCTTATCCAACATACATTTTCACTATCCTTGATAATCAATATTTATTTACTGATGTCATAATAAGTGCCATTTATATTATATAAAACTATTGGTTCTATTACCTGCCGATGTAAATAAGAGGAATTCTCAATTCATATATCTTCGAAAGTGTGTACTATGGTATTCACAATTTTATAATGTGACTTCATGCGTAATATGTATTTTCTCAAATTTATATATTTCTGAACATAGTGTAGTGTGTAATATTTGCTGTAGAACTTTGAAAAACTATTTTATTTTATTCATTATCTACCCTTATTTTGATTGCAGATGCAAATATCGGAATGTGGGTCTCTATGTCTTTTCTCTATGAGAAAAGCAAATGCTTTCTTGACAATAATATAAATGTTATTATGAATTACTACCTTAACGATTATTTATTTATGGATTGAGAATTCCTTATTCAATAATGTTGCGTATTACTTATAAATTAAAATTACTTAAATTAAAATTAAATTTCATGTGCAATTAAAGAAATAATCGTTTTTTAAATACAATATGATAATACATAAACAAAATATATAAATGATAATAATGAAAATAGTAATTAAAAATTTAATTGCAACAAGGTAAATTATAGTTAAAGAGTACATTCTATATTATCAATTTATCAATTAATGTTTATCAAGATAATACATATGAAAACTATCTTTTTAATAATTTATGATTGCTCGTTATAATTTATATTTCATAATTTTTATAATTAAACAATTAATAATGTATATTTATAATATATTAGATTTTTAAAATATAATTATT